ATTTATTTTTAATTTAATTTAATTTATTTGTGTGGCCAGCTCAGCCCACCAGGGGGCGGGGCTGGCTGGCATGTGGTGCTGGGGGATTGAACTGTGGTTGCTGGGCTTTGCTAAGCTTGTTCTAAGTGGGTGCTTTAGACCACTGAGCCATCTCACCAGCCCTTGGCCTAATTTTTAAACCCCATGTAGTTTTATGCATTTCTCTGCCATATGCTTTTCTAAAAATATTCAACATTATATTTGTAATCATCATCAATATTCATAGGTATCATTCTTGCTCATTTATTAGTCAATATATAACATCCATTATCATGCTTGAAAGTGTTAAGGTGGTTTTAAAGTTACTCCTTTAATTGAATTTAATTACTGAAAATACTCAGTATAATTTGTTTTCAATGGTGAGATTTAAATACATGTTTTTATTGCTATAATCCTATAATAAATATCTTACTATCCTTTAAGTATACATTATGAGCAATTCTCCATCTAACTAAATAAATCCCTTACCACCTATGGGAAATGACACTTAAGAAACACTGATGCACTGTCAAGCATTAAAGTTTTTAAACAGCATCTAAAAACAAATTGTAGCATCTAAAAACAAATTACATAAACTTCCAGGTACCAATTAGTTAAAGTGAGTGTTCAATGTCAAGGGAGAAAACAGAGACTGTCCTATCAACTCAGGCAGTACTGAATATTACCAGTCATGAACACTTACCCTTGTCCAATTTTTTCATATCTTGTATATTTCTTCTTAGGGTCACCTATGCTCACAATAGTTCCTATTTTAAACAAAAACTGGAAGCTCAGTAAAGCATTTTCAATGTAAAGTAATTTTGACATCATTATTCCTTTAATAAACTACAAATCTTAACAGTGGTTTTCAAATACAAGTTTTAAAAATAAATTGTTTCAAACACAAAACACTGAAGAAACATAATAAAAGTCTCCAAAACATTATTTCCATTATGTTAGATCTCCCAATAAATCTCAAAAATGAAACTATAAAACAAGTGTTCAGTCTATTTGTGACTAAATGAAGTTCTCAGGATTCAGGATGTGCTGCTCTGAAACAGGCAGGCCAAGTCCTGGGGAACTGGTTGTTCTGCTTTTCAACTCCAGGGAATGACTTCCACTAGTGATAAGTTATGAAACAATGTCAAAGATAATAAGTTACATGAAATCAATAGCTCTTAGAGGGCTTTCCTGACTATTAACAATGTATCTTCTTTCAGTTATTTGACTGATTGCAGTACTGGGCATTTTGCACTGAGTCACACCACCAACAGTATTTTGAGACAAAGTCTCAGAAGGTGTATAAATTGCCCAGACTGAGCTAGAATTATCCTCCTATCTCAGCCTCCAAAAAAGGCTGGAATTACAGGTGTAAGCCACAGTGCATGTCTACTCCACTTTAAACGAATTAATCATATATCTGCTTTAGGAAAGTTCAAAGTCATGACTTAAGAAAACAGGTTTTAAAATTAGAAGGTTGACCCAAAACCCTGGCTTTTTAATACCAGCAAGTCAAAACATGAGAAAATCACACTCATTTTCATTTGGTTAAGGGGTATGTCAAATGACCTCAAATAAAAATTCTATCTAATTAGTCATTCAGGCTCAAGCCAACCTGCTAATGGTGCCAGGAGTGATTTAAGGACAGCAGGAAAAAAAAAAAAAAAAAAAAAAAAAAAAAAA